TCGAATAAAATGTCGTGAAAAATTACACCAATCAGGAGGCGGTAAAATCAAATGTTGTGTTTTGATGTAGTCTTGATCTTATTGTTTTAGTAATTTTCAATTTTACCAGAATTTAATGGCCAACACGAAGGACATAAAATTACTGATCACGTTTCTTGTAAATATTTATGAAGGTTTCGTATGAACTACACTATTTTTTCATGACGAACTCATACTCTGTATATCAAAACATCACTGAATAACGAAAGAAATTGGCGGTTTTGATCATTTGCTGTTCATTTTGGAATGCTACGGGTTGTGGTCCCTGACTTTTGTCATTTTTTTTAACTGACTGCTATAATTATAAAAAATATCAATCAAATCACCTACAACATATTTTTAAACATTTCGCGCCAAGCTGTAATATGAAACTGTCAGATCATTATAAATGAATAACAAAACTAAAGACGAAACTGAAAATTGTTTGGACTTACTTATAATCTTCAGATTTTAATTCAATTTCTTCTGTGATAATATGGAATGGACTTTCTATGGTTGTGTTGACAGAAATATTTTTAATTTTCTCTCCCACGTTAAAACAGCCCTTTAAGAAACTCGTGTGGATGTCCAAAGAATCGATGCAAGCTTTGCAAATAACGGGATCTGTGGTGGAAGTCAAGTTCTGCAAGAAAAAATCTATTTCAATTTCTTTTCTGGTATGATAATTCCAACAAAAATTTGTTTAAAAAAATCAAATAACGTAGGTATTTACCACTTCTGGAATATATTGACAGAGTGTATCAACATCCAGTTCTTTTACTGGTGTAAATCCACAGCTGACAACTCGCATACACAATCGACAAATCCTCTCGTCTTCCAACATATCTTTTAAATGCTCTTTACCTCTTTCCTTTAGATAAATTTCTCTTAGGTCGACCGGCGTCCCCATTTCAGAATCGATGTATGGAAAGATACGGTCCTCGGTATCCGTGCACGTCGCCTTGAAATTGAATGCCGCAAACAGTTTAACGGAACAAGCATTGCATAATATAGATTTGTTCTTTTCTATTTCCTTCTAAAATGTAAAAGTTATAAGTAGTGTCTAAAAATCACAGCGGTATTTGTTACTAGTTTCAGCAAAAGAATATCTAAAACTTCTTTAATAGTTTCTTCTATTACTACGAGATTTTCGTCGTTCACAATAAGGCAAAGCCTACAGGACTGTTCCTTTTTACACATGTTTTATAGAATTTCAACGTTAATGCTACTTACAGTATACTAATCAATTTGATTAGTATACTTGTGATGTTATTTAATACTTTTCACACAACACTAACCTACAAAATATTTCTAGGTTGTACCAAAGAAAAATTTAGTTACTAGTAAATTATAAAGTATATTGTTCTATGGTTTGAACATGTAGACAAGTAGTGTTCTATGGTGCACAACGACAGATTTGTAGCGTTTTCGATTTATATGAACTTTTAGAGTCATTCCCATGACCCGTTCCATGGTGCACTTGACAAGGCATGGGTCGTGTTATACTTAAGTGAATACACCTATCCATATTTTTTTTACAGGCGACCGAATTTGGAAATAAGGTCTGTTTATTTACATTCTTGCTCCAGCTCCCATTCGTAACAAGATTTTTAAAACTGATTTCGTACGTTTATTGAAAAGTTTTTACTCTTATTTTCAAATAATATACAATTTATAAAACAGAATGGATGGTCACAAAAATAATAAAGTTGACCTAATTATAATTGAAAATATAAATAATCAGTCTATTTCCACTATTCGGTCTCATTAATAAAAATGCATAGGCGTATTCGCTCAAATTTCACATGATCCGTGCCGTGGCATGCGTCGCATGGAACGGAATACGGATGAGTGTGGAATGACATAAAACTAAGCAATGATCTGACGTCAGAAAGGAATTAAATGGCCATTAGTTCTATTTCTATTCAAACGACGTTTTAGGTTTCAAATTATGTTAGGTTATTGTATCGAATTTTTGTTTTTATTTTTGAAGGAAATATTAAAGTAGTAATGTTGAAGTTAGTAAAAAGCATATGCGAGAAGGATATGTCCTGTGGGCTTTGCCACAGCATCATAAATGACGGAAATTTCGTTGTAATAGAAGAAACAATCGAACAAGTCCTAGATGTTCTTTTGCTGAAACTAGTAAGAAAAGATAAACCTTTGAACATTCTTAAGACAGGCCTGATTCATTTACATTTTAGGACAGTACGGAAAGAGACAAATCCATAATGTGCCACACTTGTTCCAGCAAACTGTTTGCTGCATTTAATTTTAAGGCTACCTGTACGGATACGGAGGACTGTATCTTTCCTTACATTGATTTTGAAATGGGAGCACCTGTCGACCTAAGTAAAATTTATCTGAAGATAAAAGGTAAAGAACATTTAAAATATATTGGAAGACGAGAGGATTTGACGACTGTGTATGCGGGTAATCACCTGCGGGTTTATGTCAATAAAAAAAGTGGATGTTGATTCGTCCCGCATGTATATTCCAGAAGTGGTAAGTACGAGCTGCCAAGACGAGCATCGCAGTGGTCGACCAAATGAGGTGACGACTCCAGAAATGGTGAAGAAAATCCACAAAGCGGTACTGGATGATCACACTCGAGCAAAAACAGTGTCGTGAAGATGTTTCAATCGAGTGTTTAGCGAAGTTTCACAGCAACAAAACAGAATTTTTGCGCCGTTTCATGACCATGGATGAAACATGGGTCGATCACTTCACACCCGAAACAAAAGAACAACCAAAACAATGGACCGAAAAGAGTATTATGCGAACTTATTGCAACGTTTGAGCGAAGAAATCAAGCAAAAACGGCCGCATTTGCCTAAGAAGGAAGTGTTTCATCAAGACAATGATCAATTTTCTCCATTTTCACAAATTTACTGAAAACGTTCACTATTGGTGGCTGTCAAACAAATACTAAGCAACATGGCGTCTTCAAACTTGATATATATGCTTTATAGATTGTGTACTTTCTAACACAGTGATATTTTTCAAACAACTACCGCCATCTCTAGGTCAGGTCGGGTACTTCTGGGACCACCCTTGTACAATCCTTAAAATTATTATCAACAGAGAATTATTAATTCAGACAATAAATTGCTATATGCTTGGAATGTTTTGCCTGAGTTGGGCAATAAAAAACACTCATAATAATATTGTGTTAAAAAAAGACGATAATGTATATGATGACCCTGCTATCGACTTAAATGAAATAGACCCCTGAATTTTGTGCAAAACCGTACTTATCTTATCAACTTCGACGTCACCTGTTACATGGGTGTTGTATAACAATGAAAAAGTAATATTAACGGTCGATAGAAGGAAGCACAAAAAACAGGCACTTAGGTAGGAAATTCTGGAAGGAAGCCTAAATAGTCGAAGATAGGTAGTTGAAGTGAGAACAGTGTGCAGATAGGTAGCAAGACGATCGGCGGGCAGTGTGACAAAGTAGTGTAAAATTAAGTGTTTAACCGGTATTAGTTAGCAGGTAATATTCTTTAAGTACTTTGTTGTTAATTGTTCTATGTAATCTTATGATTGTGATGGTTATAGATGTTTCATGATAATAATTCTTTGTATGTTTAGCTTCCATTGCTTTATGCTCAAGGGCATATATTTTTCTAAGGTAAAATTGTTATAATTATTATTAACGATTGCTCATTATTTATTTCATGTTAAAATATATATATTGTGTGGGCGCCCAGACATTACAATAATGACTCCTTTGTTTCACATCTAACTTGTTTTTGTCATGATTACGTTGTTCGTAAAATATAGATGTTTCATGATAATAATTCTGTATATGTTTAGCCTTCATTGTCTTACGCTCAGGGGCGTATATTTTTCTAAGATAAAATTGTTACAATTATTATTAAAGATTGCTCATTATTTATTACATGTTAAAATATGTATATTGTCGTGACTGCCCAGATATTGCATTAACGACTTCTTTGTTTCACATTTAACTTGTTTTATCATGATTAGGTTGTTCTTTGATTTCTTGTGCTCACTTTATGTCATACGTCTATACGAGCCTTGTTGAATTTACTAACATTTTCGCCCGTGCGGAACGAATCTGGATTAAGCTCGATTGCCTCCCGTATGGGACTCCAGTGTTATGAAGGATCTTCCGAAATCTCAACTATAGCTGGATTGCCTCCCGTATGGGACTCCAGTACCTTCCGGCTCTGCCGGCTAACTAACACCAAACCTCTTCAGTTTTACTTGGAAGTGTGTATGACTAATATGAGGTAACAGATGACATTTAGTGACACATTAAATGAGACAGGTCTTATTTATCATTAGCAAAGGTTCTTAATTTATGCCTTTGGTTAGCGGTTGTTTTGTATTTATATTTGGGTGGTAAGAGCAACGATCGTGGGTTTCTCTGCCATGCTCTTTCCCCACAGGAGCTCTAGGTGAGCCTGGCACTCTCATTTTATGTTAAATGGTTGTTGATGTTTTTGTTGTTCTTTATATTTGTCACGTTTAATTTGAAGATTGTTGTATGTCAATAAAAGTTAGGTGTATTTACTCTGCTTTTGTTTTATATAATTAAACCATACATCCCCTCTACAAAGTTAGTAGCCAGCGCCTTCCGGTCAATAAAAAATAAATACACACAACGTAGGTATTCCTTATGACGATCACATATTTTTGGCCACAACTACGTTTACTTATTTTTTATCGAACCTAGGGTTGTTATATTACAATTTGGAAATCGATATTAAGAAAATATAGTGGCGAAAAAATTTGAAATTTGGACATACCTGTATATCGACGCTTTAGTACGAAAACATGCTATCTCGAATTAAGCTTGGAAAACATGCTAACTCAGATCTTTAGGTAAAAACATGCTATCTCAATGTGACTAGAAATTTAAGTTGGCACATTGAATAGTTGAAACCATGCATATATAATAAACATATAACATATATTTAAAAAAGTAAGAGAAAAAAGTAGTAGAAGTAAGAAAGTAAGGAAATGTAAGGAAGTTACTGTTATAAACGACAAAATTGTTAATGAAAAAAATTGAATAATATGCAGTATGCTGCAACACCTACATTACTCGACGTTAGTACTTTGGAGTATATTTCTGCAGTTAGTGGGTCCTGTACTTTCGCTCCTTGGAAGAGCTACCGTGTACTAACATGTGCCGAGAAAGGTGTCCCTTCCTTTTAGTCTCGTAGTCACAAGTATCGCACCTATACAACGGGGAATCTTTATGCTTGAACCGGTGGGCCGCCAAATTGTTCTTATAGGCGGTTACGTAGTCGCAAAGGTTGCACTTGTAAGTTTCCGTTCCCCGAGGAATCGTGTGCTTCTCTCGGTGCGTCCCGAGGCTGCTCTTGTGCTTCGTCTCGAAGTCGCACACGTCGCACTTGTACATCCGCACCTGCGAGCTGTCCTTGTGGATCGCCTGGTGCTTTACGAAGTTGTACTTGTGAATGGTCTCCATGCCGCAGACGTCGCACTTGTAAGTCGACACCAGAGACGTGTCTTTGTGCGTGAGCTGGTGACGAGCCAGGTTCGCCTTGTGTTTGGTTCGGAAACCGCACGTGTGGCACTTGTGTTCGCGCGCCTGGGAAAAGTCTTGGTGGGACAGTTCGTGGCGCTTCAGGTTGCCCTTCCGCTTCGTTTTATAATCGCACTTCCCGCACGAGTACGTCGGTATGTCGGGACAGTCCCCGTGTTTCAGCATATGAAGCTGTAAGTGCCCTTTAAAGGAAGTCCCGTAATCGCAGAATTGGCACTTGTACTTCTTCGCGGGGGACTTGTGGGATAAACAGTGCACCTGCAACGCCCGCTTCTTTATCGTCTTGAAACCGCAGACGTCACACTCGTACTCTGCGGGTTTCCCGTGTGCCAAGTTATGTCGTACGAGGTAATGCTTGTACTTGGTTTCGAAGCCGCACGTGTGACACTTGAACTTTCGCTCGGCGGACGCTTCGTGGCTTTTCTGGTGGGCGATAAGAGTCCTCCTGCGCTTGGCTCTGTAACTGCAAGTGTCGCATTTTAACATCCGCGCCTGCACCAGGTCATCGTGTCTTTCAAGGTGGCGAGTGAGGTTGACTTTACGGTGGGTTTTGTAGTCGCATTTGTCGCATTTGTGCGATTCTATCTGGGACGGATCCGTGTGAGCTAAAGAGTGCCGCTTGAGAGAGCATTCGTGGATCGTCTGGTAATCGCACACATCACACTTGAAAGTTGGTACTTGGGAAAAGTCCCGGTGTACCAGTTGGTGGCCCACCATGGAGTTTCTACGTTTGGTTTCAAAACCGCAGGTGTAACACTGGTACCTTCGGGACGCCGGTAGGGCCTTGTGCATGAACTCGTGTTGTCTAAGGTTCTTCTTACGGACAGATTCGTAATCGCACGAGTCACATTTGTACTTTTTTAACTGCGTCGAATCGCTGTGGTTTGATTCGTGCTTCTTACTGTCGAGCATATGATTCTTTGCTTCTGCATCCGTTAGGCCACACTCGCTCGAGTAGTCCACGCGTTCGTCACCTGGGATTTCCAACAGTGCGTCACTGAAAAAAATACAAATCGTATACATCTTTGGTAAAAAAGTTCTGCATAAAATTCATATTTTCGTTAAACAATTTTTTTTTTGAAAAACGGTGCGACCCGTCGATTTTTATTTGATCCAGGGCACCTTNGCAACGCCCGCTTCTTTATCGTCTTGAAACCGCAGACGTCACACTCGTACTCTGCAGGTTTCCCGTGTGCCAAGTTATGTCGTACGAGGTAATGCTTGTACTTCGTTTCGAAGCCACACGTGTGACACTTGAACTTTCGCTCGGCGGACGCTTCGTGGCTTTTCTGGTGGGCGACTAGAGTCCTCCTGCGCTTGGCTCTGTAACTGCAAGTGTCACATTTTAACATCCGCGCCTGCACCAGATCGTCGTGTCTTTCCCGGTGGCGAGTGAGGTTGATTTTACGGTGCGTTTTGTAGTCGCATTTGTCGCATTTGTGCGATTCTCTCTGGGACGGATCCGTGTGAGCTAAAGAGTGCCGCTTGAGGGAGCATTCGTGGATCGTCTGGTAATCGCACACATCGCACTTGAAAGTTCGTACTTGGGAAAAGTCCCGGTGTACCAGTTGGTGGCCCACCATGGAGGTTCTATGTTTGGTTTCAAAACCGCAGGTATAACACTGGTACCTTCGGGACGCCGGTAGGGCCTTGTGCATGAACTCGTGTTGTCTAAGGTTCTTCTTACGGACAGATTCGTAATTGCACGAGTCACATTTGTACTTTTTTAACTGCGTCGAATCGCTGTGGTTTGATTCGTGCTTCTTACTGTCGAGCCTATAATTCTTTGCTTCTGCATCCGTTAGGCCACACTCGCTCGAGTAGTCCACTTGTTCGTCTCCTGGGATTTCCAACAGTGCGTCACTGAAAAAAATACAAATCGTATACATCTTTGGTAAAAAAGTTCTGCATAAAATTCATATTTTCGTTAAACAATTTTTTTTTTGAAAAACGGTGCGACCCGTCGATTTTTATTTGATCCAGGGCACCTTGTTATGTGGAATTTTTTTTTTTTTCGACAATCCACTTACGGCAGCGATGACAATTTTTTTTAAATGACAACGCATATTTATTTCGTTCGAAATTGATGACAGTGATAATTATCTAAACAATGGTGTGAAAATTTCGATGTCTTACATAAGAATTTTTTTTAGAAAAATGCACCTTAAGTTCTTATAAGTGATAATTGTCTACTTACACTATTAATGGCTCCGAAAAGGA